AAAGATGACCGTTTCAGTTTTTCTGACAAGTTTCTCACGAATAATAGAGATATACTCTCAGAAAACAATATTCCTTCGAAAAGACAAGTCATAAAAGTTGTTATGTCTGTTTATGATCCACTTGGTCTACTAGCGCCATTTACGATTCAAGCCAGGATTCTAATGCAAGAAATTTGGTCCTACAAATTGGAATGGGATGATAAACTGAACTCTCAACTATTCGAAAAATGGAAATATTGGGTGAAGGCTCTGTACAAAGTTGGAAATTTGAATATTCCTCGATGGTATGGTTTCAGCCGAAAAATCATGGAAATTCAATTGCACACCTTTAATGATGGTAGCGAAAAAGCATACGCGTCTGTATCTTACTTCCGAATGAAGGATTCACACTTCATTTGTGATGGCAAAGTCAAGAGTCACTTCTTTGAAGCCGATGACCGTACCAAAGATTGAACTTCAAGCAGCTCTGTTAGGATCCCGTTTAGCTGAAACAATTTCGAATGGACATGGCCTGAAAATCCACAAGAAGTTCTTCTGGATAGACTCAAAAATAGTACTGAGTTGGATAATGTCACCTCCAAGAAACTACAAGACTTTCGTCGCAAACCGAATAGGAGAAATCTTAGAATCAACGAATTCCGAAGATTGGCATTGGCTTCCGACTAAACTGAACGTAGCAGATGACGCAACTCGTGGAATGTGGGACATCGACAACTACCAAAAATGGTTCAATGGACCTCAATTCCTTATTTCAGATGAAGAATTATGGCCTCAAGAACAAGGAGAGATATCGGCAAATACAGATGAGGAAAAAAGAAAGAATAATGTGTTCGTGACAATAGAAAACATGAAAGGTATATTCGACTTCTCAAGGTTCTCCAATTATTTGCGTCTCGTGAGAGCTGCCGCATGGGTCATCAGATTCATCAACATTTTGAAAATTAAAATTGGCTTATTGGGTACTCAGCCATACTCAAATGAACTCTCGGTGAAAGAATTTGTATATGCTGAAATCGAAATTATCAAGATATCACAGAATGAAAGTTTTGCTGAAGAGATAGAACGAATTATTCGAAAAGAAAATCCTAGCAGGTCGAGTCGTCTGTCAAAGTTGAATCCTATTCTTGACGAAGATAAAGTACTAAGATTGAGCGGAAGATTGGATCAAGCAGAACATTTGGATTAACCAATGAGACAGCCAATCATTCTGGACTCGAAACATTGGTTTACAATATTACTAGTGAGACATTATCATAATTTGAATCATCATCAGGGCAGAGAACAAGTAATTAACCAGTTAAGAGACAGATTTTGGATTATTAATGCGAGATCAGCTGTAAAAAGTTGTGTGATGTCCTGTGTTATCTGTAGGAGGAAAAATGCCAAGTTGGAAACGCAACAAATGGGTCAAGTACCAGATTGTCGCACAATTCCTCAAGTCAGAGCCTTTATGATCACAGGAATGGATTATTTTGGTCCCATGACAGTCACCATCGGAAGAAGAAAGGAAAAAAGATACGGAGTGATTTTCACTTGCATGTCTACAAGAGCCATTCACCTCGAGCTATCTTCCTCTCTAACAACCGATTCTGCAATAATGGCAATTCGTCGATTTATTTGTAGACGAGGAAGTCCTTCTGAAATACACTCCGATAATGGAACAAATCTCTGTGGTGCTGAAAAAGAAATGACGTTAGCCCTCCAAGAAATTGACGCAGACAAGGTCCAACAGTTTTGTTGTGTTCGACGTATTCAATGGTCAAAAAATCCACCAGCAGCCAGCCACATGGGAGGAGTATGGGAGAGGATGATAAGAACTGTCAAAAATGCTCTGAGAACTATTTTAACTGAACAGACACCCAAAGAAGAAATTCTGCATACTCTTCTAGTTGAGGTAGAGTATACAGTGAACAGCCACCCAATTACTTATGTCTCATCGGATCACCTAGATGACGAAGCTTTGACACCTAACCATTTCCTCATTGGTAAAATGAATGAAGTAGGTTCGCCAGGTGTGTTTTCTGATGCGGACTCTCATTTACGGAAACAATGGCGTATTGCACAAAGATTTGCTGATCTCTTTTGGCGCCGTTGGCTACGAGAATATGTGCCAACGCTGATCAAACGAAGCAAGTGGCAGCACAACAAGAGTGACATCACTGAAGGTGATTTAGTCATACTGGCTGATGATAATTCGCCAAGAAATACGTGGCCAAAGGGGAAAATAATACGAACTTTTCCTGGACGCGACAAGAAAACTAGAGTGGTCGAAGTGAAAACTGCAAGAAGAACATATCGAAGGCCTATAACGAAGATTGTTTTATTGAAGCCTAAGTAGTCGTTTGCGGTGCCCGGAGGATGTTATGGACTACATAATGACTATATACTTTGCACTATGCACTTTTTTTAGAAAAATATAGTTAGTCATGTATTTGTCAACAAGAAAAAAGATAATAGAATAAAAAGTCAAAAAAGTAAAACCGAACTGATTTTTGCTGTAAAATTAGTGTTTTGCCCGAACAAAGAAATATCACTTGAGATCACAGATTTTGTGAAACAATATTAAATGTTGCAGTACATTTCACTTTGAGAATACAGCAGTATCTGGTTATTAGGGCTACCATGGCTCTTATTAGGTAGTTAAAAATTCAATCAATGAAATAATTGAACATGTCCTTACCTGTTCACGAATTGACGAAGATGATTTCCACTTGAATGGCATTATTATTTATGCATACAATAGCGTTATTTGGCTTGAACACTCCTAACCACTTCATTTTGTTGGCCTTTTCACAGTTTAACTTGGTATCTCGAACAAAGCTCTCCAATCTCGAGTGAAAATGAGTGTCAGGCTGACAATAAGAAAATTTGTCAACAAATAATGCAGGATCATGAATGCAGGTTATGTTGAATAGCTCATTTGACACAGGAAATAGATGACACCACTTGCCGTCCCTTCAAAATTTGATTACAGGGCGATTTGGCGATTTTCGCTGAATGAACAGTCATGTATAACCCGTCAGACAGTCCATTTAGCCGTCATTGGTATTGGTCATTTTTGGTTGTGTTCAGATTCGAACATTTATTCCTGTCAAAATTAGAGGACTCCTTGATGCAGAACTCGTTGGTGATCTCGCGAATTTGATGATTTTGACTCATCGGCATATTTCGAGTATATAGTTTGGTTAACGTAGGTTGATATTTAAGGTATACGTGAAGGAACGTGAGATAACGTACACCCGTAAGCCCACTAACAACGCAAACGTGAAGAATTGGAAAATGCGCATGCGTAGCTGTCAATTTCTACGTTTACGTTAACGTTCATGACAACACTTCAACTCTCTAATGAGTAGATGGTGCGCGTACTCTGCCATTTTTACGTATTGAAAACTTAAGAAAAATTACTCGACCGCCTACTATGATTTCTCTACGTCACATCGAGCGAGACGTTGATATTTACTGCTGTGACGAGTGGAAATAAAATCACAAATGGCATTTTAGGTACGTGGAACATAATGTAACAGTGCGATTATTAAACTTTGAATTCGAAAAATCTGCGGCAATTTGAAAATTGACAGATGTCATAATTGTGCAATTTCGCCATCTATCCGAAATCCGCTGAAAACATTGTTCTCGGAACTCTCGGGAGGTCGAGAAAATTTTCTGAAACAAAAGCGCATCTGTAAGTATATATGCATCATTCAAAATTACACGTGATGAACAGAGACAAAAAATGTTGGGTGCGGAAAAAGTTCAGACCAGTGCGACTAGTGATAAACAGCATAAAATCAGTATTAAAAAAGCTAGAAATGAGCTAGATTCCGAAAAATTCTCGCTTGCGATAGAAAATAAGCGTACGCTACCTATCGAAGTACTTGAGAGCTGTCAAAGCGGCATGTTGTTTTCATTGGTTATATTTGTTTTTTCTTTGTGCTTATTGGTCATATCATCAAAACAAATCGCTCAGAGGTGTTCAAGTTGCTGCCGTTAGGTGGGGCGACGTGTTATTTTCTATCGCGAGTCGTCGGCAACACTGCATTGCAGTCATGCTCTATCATCAGCTGTGTTCTTTTGCTTTCAGTGTAGTGTAATTTACACCGCCACTGAAAACCAGCTGATTTGATAGTGTAGATGAGTGTAAGGATTTTAGAGGAACAGGAGAGTGGAGATCGTGTAGACATCATTCGTTTACAATCATGGCGCTGTGAAGACAAAACCTGACTCAGGGTAAATATTCTCGGTAGAAGCATAACAAAACAATAACTTTGTGGTATTTGCTGTCCATATGATGATGTTACTGGGCCCTCATCGGGGGTAACGGCCCTCATCAAAGATAAATAATAACGGACCGAGTATTCTGGTATTATGACTATCATCTAATTTCGATGTGATGTGCGATGTGCCTATTTTCATCAAGTCACAGCCATTGAAAGGCCTATGATTCTAGTGTTCTTGAAAAATTACTATCTTTGCCTGTCAATCTCGTTATTCAAAATTAGCAAGGAGAATTCCAAACTGCTCTCTCTTTTCCATCTAGGCCTTCCCAAAAAAATCCATGGTAAAGTGGGCTGTACAGTTGTCAAGAATAAGTTCTAACTGAATTTCAATTTATCAAAGATTAGTTTTTCAGTTTCACGCAGATCCACTCGTAGGTGTACCGTTTATACGGAATTTGCTAATTTTCATTGTTATAAAATAAATAATAATTTATAGTCCTTCAAATTTCACTCTGATTCGCTACTTTTATCAAAACTAACGATTCAACATCTGTCTGTATTTCACACCGTCTATAGCCTCGGTGGAGATATCCTACACCGGTGTAATTACACCATTACAAAGGAACGACAAGTTGTAATGGAAAAAGCAACACACTGAGGAAAAGGAGCGCTATTTTGGAAAAAGTGTAGTTCAGTGTCACACTTTCATAGGAAAGGAACAGGCCTATGTGTCAATCATGTCATGTGTCATGTCTCATATCACTCATGACGTCATTGAAAATTGAAAACAATAATAAAATATTGAATGAACATTAAACTAATAAATCATAGAAAGAAACCCTATTTATCACATCTCACATCACCATCACAGCATCAGTGCTATCAAAAACAAAAAGCTAATCATAGTGCTGATAACAGAGATATGTCTATCATATTATATTTTCTGTTATACATGTAGCCTCGCAAGACCCATTGGTGCAGGTGGAAATATATATATCCGGCTATATCATAATAAAAATATTTTTAAAAACCTGTGAATCTGTGAACAACTCAGTGAACAATAATGTCTTCCTACCTCCGTGGTTCTACAAACTATGTTTGGTCAACTACTAGCATTTTGGGAAAAGGGGCCACTGCCACAGTCCATCAAGGTGTGAATAAAGTTAATGGAGAACCTGTTGCAGTTAAAACATTCAATCACATCAGCACACTTCGTTCTCCAGAGATCCAGATAAGAGAATTTGAAGTTCTACAGAAAGTAAATCATGAAAATATTGTTAAACTTCTTGCCATTGAAGAAGAACAGGAAAACAGAGGCAAAGTTATTGTTATGGAACTGTGTACTGGCGGTAGCCTTTTCAATATTCTAGATGATCCTGAGAATACTTATGGTTTGGAGGAAACAGAATTTCTCTTGGTTCTGCATCATCTTTATGAAGGAATGAAACATCTGAGAGATAACAATCTCATCCACAGGGACTTGAAACCAGGTAGGAATATGTTTAAGAAGTGGTCTCTATTTGTGTAATGTATTGAATAACTGGGGAAATAATATCATTCATTTATTTCTTCATGTACAAATTATAATATTTTTTCATTCAATAACATGAATCTCTGAAATATCCTCTGAATAAAATAAGTATTAGGCAACAAGTACCCTGATTACAAAATTGAGTTATACTGTGTGAACTATAATTTAAAGATACAATACTACATCAGCCCCCTGATAAATCTTTCCAATAATAGAATCTACCAAAACTTGAGCCAAAACCATGTTGATAAGATAACTGATCTGGAGGTTTAATGACTCCTTTAGGTCTCAGGTCTCAGTGAATATTCATCATTATTTTAAACATAATTATTGCTATATATCTTCACTTGTGTATCCTCCCTATTCAATTCATCACTTCTAATCTCCAGCTCTGCAATATTGTCATCCAGTAACCTTCCTAAATTTTCCTGATTTTCTTGGATATTTGATTCTACAAAAAAGTTTTTTTGTTTGATTCCAAAGAGAATTCATTTCATTTCACATTATTCAATTCTGGCACTACTTCTGTATACAATGACTTGCCAAGTTTTTCAAGTATAATAGCTCTAGCTCAAGTAGTCTCATTATTTCTTTTCTGTGACATGTATCAGCTAAGAGTCATGTAGTGTATATGTATAGTAGGGGACTCCTTAGGGGATTTGTCATTGGATGCAAGGTAATAGGTACAGGGTCCAGGATGATAAGAAACTGCTATGAAGGATGGCACTTGTGATTCGGCAGTGTGGAGCAATAAAGAAGTATACAGATAATAATTCAATTTAATTTCTACATTGGCGACAAGGAAAAAAGGTGAAAAACGTAAATGATTCTATTGGGGAATACAAAACAAGTACAAGGACCAGGGAAATACGCCTGGGCAAAATAATAAATAGCTTCATTGGTGAATAAATAAGAACATAGAATACTCAATACTTTTAAAAGGATATCATTTAGTGAACTCAAATTTTAACAACAAATACTGAACAACAAGTTTGGAACTCAAAAATTGATTGAGCTCATGAAAATTAATGAGTTTTGAACTCAAATATAAAGAGTTTGGAACTCAAAATTGAACTTTAATGAGTTCAGAATGCAATTATTATAAAGAGTTCGGAACCCAAATTTGAACTTAAACAAGTTTGGAACTCAAAATTTAAATAAGTTCATGAAAATTAACAAGTTTGATAGTGGAATATAGAGAGTTTAGAACTCAAAATTGAACTTTAAAGAGTTAGGAACTTGAAATTGAATTAGTTTGTAACTCAAAATTTCAATATTTTCAGGAAAATCAAATAGTTCAAAACTCATTCAAAGAGTTTTGAACTCAAAATTGAACTTTAAGGAGTTTTGAAGTCAAAATAAAATTATTTCATGAAATGAATGAGTTGGGAACACAAATACACAAAGTTTGGAACTCAAAAGTGAATTTTGAGGAGAATCGAATAAATTCAAGAAAACAAGTTTGGAACTCCCAGTATAAACGGCTTTGGAACTCGGAGAAGGAATCTTAAATGAAATTCTATTTATATACAGTGTGGTTGTTTAAGTGTGCAACATATGGGAATCTTTTTATTGAATTGCACTACGAAAATACAGATAGTGCCGAAAGTTGGTGCATATTCGGTAATCATTTTAGGTGCACTTAGAATGGTTGCAAGTCACACAGCATACAGGGTAGGTCAAAAAATATAAAAATTGCTCAAGAGTAAAGTACCCTTATTTAAAAAAATTCAGTAAAATATTATTGAAAAAAGTTGTTTACAATTGAAAGTTATGCCTAGATACCAAAACATGGCCCCCTAAGAAATTTTTCAGCTTTTCAATTCTGTTTGTTGATAATTTCCCAATTTGTAATATTTTAAATACAAAATGTGCACATTGAATGGAAGTTTTTGAATATGCATATTATCATTAATGATGTTTTACCTTGTTAAAAATATGGTTTGCGAAGTTTTAAAGATATTCACCCATCATTGCAACAAACATAAAGTTTGTGATTCCCTAAAAAAATTAAAATCCAAGTAAATTGCACAAATATGCTTGAATGTGAACAAATTTATGGTCAACTGATTTTGTTATGATCAACTTATGAAAGTATTCAGGGTGAATATAAAAAAATTACAAATTGGTAAATTATTCATGAACATAATTGAAAAACTCAAACATGTCTTAGGAGGCGAGTTAGGAGGCCATGTTTTGGTATTTAGGCATAATTTTCAATTGTTACCAACTTTTCTCAATAACATTCTGCTGAATTATCTGAAATGAGGGTACTTTACTCTTGAGCAATTTTTATATTTTTTGACCTACCCTGTATGCTGTGTTACTTGCAACCATTCTAAGTGCACCTAAACTGATTACCGAACATGCACCAACTTTTGGCACTATCTGTGTTTTGGTTGTGCAATTCATTAAAAAGATTCCCATATGTTGCACACTTAAATGACCACACTGTATAGTGTATACAGACCAGAGCAAGATTGTTTCAAATGTCACAAAATCGGCATTACAAAAGGTGCTGCCTTGGTAAATTGAATTAATGAAAATTCAACTATGAAACGCATTTCTCAAACTATAATAAAAACAATAGACATTCCAGAAAATCATTTTCTAGAGAATACACCTATTATGTGTTTCATATTGATGTTGATGAATTTTTTTCATTTTCCTTAGGTGGAGTAGAAGTAGAAATGTTTACTGATTTGGGAATTAAAAGTAACCTGATCTCAAATAAAACCGGGTAATTTCTTAAGAAACATAATGTTGAGGTCAGGAACCAAATAAAAAATCCACATAAAACATTTATAGCATATTCCACTGATACACTCCTCAAGATTGTTGGTGTTGGCAACAAGACTGAAGGTACTAAGATCTAAGTTGTAAAGAGAACAAGAAATTTACTTGGAAAATCAACTGCAAAAGCTCTAGGAGTATTGGAGTTGAAATAATCAATAACATGGGTGAATTTACCAAGTTCAAAGACGTTGTTGTAGATATTCCAATAGACGAATCAGTAAAACCAGTATGTCAACTGTACAGTCAAATTCCTATTTCGCTAGAATCCAAAGTAGATTTGAAGTTACAAGAACTGATAGACTCAGGTATTATCAAACCAGGTAATGGTGTTTTGAAATGGGTTTCCCCGATAGTACCCATAAATGCAAAATAGTATATTACACACAGAGGTGGGAAGTGATTCATTCCTGGCGTTAGATTAGTTTGTTAACCAAGACACAAAGCGTCGAGGTTAGCTATAATTTCGAGGCAGGAATGAAACTTCCTACCGAGGTTTGTATACTATTTTATTTACAACCATCATATTTCAATCAAAATTAATAAATCTCAGTTTCGTCCTGAACATACCTAAAATATTACATAATTGAGGGCGGGAAGTAGAGGTGTGTAATATGACACTTCCCAACCTTCAACGACGTTAGTAATGACAACATTACATATATGGTTGTAAATAAAATAGTATTTTCTTCAAGCTGTTGAAGTCCTGCTACAAAATACTGACTCACCCTGTATATTATCTATACCGACATATTATGGTATGGAAGAAATTCAGAATTTTACAAATTCCCCATTGAACTGTTGAATTCTTTAAACTCAAAACAGATTCTTGAATAATTTTCAGAATATACCTATGAAATGGTAAGAAATTTATTTAATTAAGTGCGCCCTTGACCTCTGATTTTGGTCTTTGTGCATACAAGGAAACAACAGGAAAATGGAGTAATCTCGGGGAAATGCGAAGACGGGAAATAGAGGCAGTTTGGGAAAATGCGAAGAATTAAGGAGGAAATGGATGTGAATTGGAGGAATTTCGAGGAATCGTGAGGAATTAAAGGAATTTTCGGGAAATAAATAGGAAATGAAAGAAATGAAGGAAATAAACAGAGAAAAGGAATTTTTCCCACACTATTCTTCTGGCTGTGGTCAACCCCTCACCAATAATAGATGTCATGCAACCTAACTTTAGAAAAGCTGTACTGTTTTCTAGACTAGATATGATAAACACTTTCTATCAGATTCTTCTTCTTCTTCGAAGCACTGGTGGGCGGGTGAACACCCCTGCTCGTAAGCTTGTAGGCCTCCTCAATCGGGCCCATTGAATTGAATGAATTGAATCCCCAGCTGAATCTCTTCCACGTCCTCGGGCCTCAAAATTATAAGGACAGTCCTCCTCTGATGTGTCAGTGCTGGGCACTCAGTAAGGACATGCGATGACGTTTCATCATCTTCCAGGCATCATCTGCAAAGGGGATCATCTTTGATCCCAATAAGCTCTAGGTGCCTATCGAGGTGGTTACGCCCTGTTAGGAGCCCCACAACTATCTCGCCTGTTGAGGGATAAAACCTCTTTTGTGAGCCTCTTCGAAAGTTCCGTTATGTGGAGGAATGGTGTGTCCTGCCATATTTTGAGGAATTCCTTTTGCATCTGTCCCTCTATGCAGGACATTGCCAGACTGTTTGGTATTCCCAAGATTGGTTCCGGTCCGACCGGGGTCCGTCCTGAACCGATCTTGGCCAGTCTGTTTGCCTCCTCGTTTCTGTGTATCCCCGAGTTTCCCGGGACCCACATGAAGCTGACATTTCTTGATTTTGTCAGGTTTTCCAAGGCCTTTCTGCACTCGGATACCAAATTGGTTGTGATCCTATTGTATTGCAAAGCCAGTATTACAGCTTGGCTGTCCGAGCATATAGTGATTGGTCTACGACCTCTCATGATCAGGTATTCTTGGACACAGGTAAGTATTGCGAGTACTTCAGTCTGGAACACTGAGGCATATTCGCCCAAAGGAACACAGATTTCTTTTTTTGTTCCTTCATTGTATACCCCAGCACCTGAACTGCCCCCAAAATTTAGAGTCATCAGTGTACCAGATTGACTCATTGGGAGGAGGCACGCCAGGTGTTGTGTCATTCCATTCTTCCCTCGTAGGGATGGCAATGTTTGGGGCTTTGTTGAATTTCAGAATCGGCAAGGTACTGTCCCCTCTCATCATGAGGATGGGACAGTTTTCCTTTGCCTTATTCCATGTGAGGGAGTGTCCATGATCTACTTCTGTTCCGGCCCACTGGTTTGCACTGTTGAGTCGGTAAGCAGTTCTCATGGCTTCGTGTTGTATGAACAGGTGTAGAGGCAGCAGATCTAACAGATCTTCAAGAGCCCTGGTAGGCGTCGTTCTCAGAGCATCTGTTATTTCCAGGCAGGCCGGTCTCTGGACTTTATCCAGTTCTCTTATGGTCTTGCCCTTATTTGTACTAGTCCACCATACAATGGTGCTGAGCAAATTACTGCCGTATATATCCAGTGGAAGGATGTAGATTTATCACAACTTTTATTACTAACAAGGGGCTGTTCAGATACAAACGTCTTATACAGGGTGTTTCACAGGTAAATGGAAATATTTCAGTGGTAAATAGGGGTCACCAAGGTGGTTCTGAAAATACCATATTTGATAGGTCTTAGAGTCTTCATAACGGAGATACAGGGCGATTTATCGATTTCGAATAATTATTCATTAATCTATAAGTATTGAACTACCCAGTATATTTTCCTCAAGTCTGGTATGGACCTTAAACTTGGGACGTTGAATTTATTCACCTATCGGGCGGAGCAAAAATCCAGGTTCGGCTTCAGGAAAAATTTACATTTATTCGACATATTGAAATAACACACTGTATGTAATAACTAACAGAGTTCATCGAAGTAATCGTGAAGAGGAGGAAAAACGGAATTGGATTCGGATGTTTTTTGTTTTCCTGCCACCAATTCGCATCGTAACAATCATAAACAAAAAGTTAGAAGTATGATACTCCTTTTTCTCATGCCTGTCTAGTAATTTCACAGGGTGATCCCTAAAAGCATAATAATTCACTAACACGTTTCTTTGAAAATTGAATATCATGTTTTCCATATTTTTTTCGAAATCTGTAGATGTGGACCTCGCTGTTCTTTTGATTGCTCAAACTCCTACCACCCGAGACCTCCTGCTGCTGAAACCCGAACGAAGAAAAACCAACACAATGACATTGTCCAACCAACCGAAATGCAGCACAGCAACGTGGTTTTAAATACATCCTGTTTTCACATTTATTTACCGGCTGCGACACATCTGCAACGTTCAGGAGGAAATCTGCAATCATTAAGGAAGGCTGGACAGATGTGGTTCATCAAATGGTATAGGGCACCAGCAAGACAGTCCTCCCTGAAGCAATCAGTCCAGTGGCAACTAATAAGACTGGCATCAGCTTCCATCCAGCAAGTGAAAGCGCATCTGAATAGCATTTTCGACGCACCTACCACCAAGTTCAGCAGTGCCAAGGAAATGAACTGCCACCTCAAAACTGAGATTGAAAACATATGATATTTCGCTACTACACCAAGGATTGTGGTGGTGACAAATGTGGACGCCAGAAGGCAATGCTGAACTGTTATGCGGCGTGCCTCTACTGCCAAGAGAAGTGGCTCAACGGCGTGCCTGTTGAAGAGGACGACGACGATGGAAGTGCCGTGAAGTCTACTGAACGAAGAACCTTCGCCAGGACCCTCAAGGCCAAAGAGTATGAAGAATTTCCAGAGAAAGTGGAGTGTTTGAAATTATCAAGTTATTTAGAGTGAGGACAATGAGAATAAAATGACTTAGCATATGTGACTTTTTTCATTATCATTATAATACAATTTTATATTTCTCAAGTTGAATTATTTTTGGCTACTGCATGAAATAACCCGTTTTCAAGTGTGGCAACACATTAGTATACAAGGTGCCCCATAAAAAGTGGGGTGTTAGGAGGGGGTCATTTGGAATCAAACTAACGGTATATGTTCGAAAGTTATTCAATTTTTCTTAAAAATGCGACCCATTTGAAAAAAAAATAACAGAAAGGCTGTTTTGAATAACCCCATATGTTATGCCATTTCGGAATCTGTATTAAATGGGCAACTTTTTGTTATGATTGGTTATCTTTGTGAGGTAGTTTTTAAATCTGTCAGCGGCGATGAGTTTTTTTTTAATACTAAAACAATGGAGTCATTGTGATATCAGATACGGAAATAAAATTGATGACATACAAAGTACCTCATTAATGTATTGAACACAGTAAAACAAGAGCAATCTTGTGTTATAGCTGAAGAAAAACAAAATTTCATCACGTTGTCAGTAGTCTCAACATGATCGTTTAAAATATGAAAAATAGTATATTGTGCAACAAGTGGGGAAAGTTCAACTTTTCCCATTATCTCTGTCTCTGGCGGTGTATTTATCAAAATCGTCACATCTCGGTATATCCATCATATTATTCATTATGAATTGTTGAAATAATATTTGATGGAAACTGAGATTTCTATCAAAACCACTAATGAGAACTACCTTGAAGAATTTAAACAACTTCTTCTGACAGTTGTGACAACTATCCAAAGCTGAACCCCAGCCAATTAAGTTTTGGTCGATTTTTGTTGATTCTCCATGGAAATGTATGTGGTGTTGGCAAAGTGCCGTGAGAAAAAATATTTCTCACAGTATGAGCAATACATGGTTTTGAAACTAAGTAAGCTATGAGAAATGCGCTACTTTTCATAGTAGTAGTAGAAAAAATCTTTTTCTCAACACCTATGTTGTTATGACATCCTTATATTGAGCAAACTCAACTTATTTTGCAGTGTTATACCTACTTTAACAAGGGGACCACCTGTAAAATTTTTAAGAAAGTTATAGTCCATTACACAATTATTATTGATCTCTGAAGTCAACAATATAATTTATATAAATGATAAATGAGAAAAATGAGTATACCTGGAATATAGTTCCTCCCTAAGCAAGATCAAGATGTGTTTATCGGAGAATGATTTTAGAATGTGGTTGCATAATCTATATAATTATATATATCTCCTCAAAATCGAAAAAATCATTGAAATTAATTATCATTATGATTGAAGTTACTGCAATTGATCATTCTAGAACACGTGATTTTGACATGGTTTCTTGAGGGGCACACAAACTATCTGTTAGGTTACCTTTGATGAGCATAGCCCTGGCCATTCCGGCCACATCCACAATACAATAACAGTTTCACCAAACTCGGATTCCAGGAAAAACGATACCACTAATTCTGGTTTTATATGACAAATCTTGACAAAATACAATGTTTGCCCCTCAGCAATCTGTCAAATGACGTAATTCTGGAATGATTAATATATGTGACATAACGATATTGAGAGATCTTAATTATTTTCAGGTAATATTATGAAGTTTATCAGAGATGATGGTACAACGGTGTACAAACTCACGGATTTTGGGGCTGCACGTGAGCTTCAAGAAGGCCAATATTTCCAGTCGCTATATGGAACCGAAGAATACCTTCACCCTGATATGTACGAGAGAGCTGTGCTCAGGAAACATGCCAATAAAACATTTGGTGCAACCATTGACTTGTGGTCTATTGGTGTCACTTTATACCACGTAGCAACTGGAAATTTGCCATTTAGACCTTATGGTGGTCGGAGGAATAAGGAAACTATGCATCACATCACCACAAAAAAGGAGAGTGGGGTGATTTCTGGTATACAATCTAAAGAAAGTGGTCCCATTGAATGGAGACGTGAACTACCTAATAATTGTCAGTTGAGCTATGGTCTCAAAAAAATTATAACTCCACTGTTGGCTGGTCTGTTGGAGGCTGATCATCGAAAAATTTGGAGTTTTGATAAGTTTTTCAAAGAGGTAGATGTTGTTTTGTCGAGAAAAGTAGTAAACATTTTTCACGTTAACAAGGCACAATTGATTAAAGTGTATATCTTGCCTAATGAATCTTACCAACACTTGCAAAACTATGTTACAGAACAAACAGAAATGAAAGATACTAGTCAAATTTTGATATATCAAAATACCCTGTTCAGAAATTTCATAGAAGAATACACCTTAGCAACAGGTTTTCCAGCAACCACAAGAGAAGATCCTTTGTTTTTGTTCAATAGGGAAAACAATAACATAACATTAGTGCCTGATCAAGAGTTACCGAAATTCAATGAATTTTCTAGTGTCATGTCCGTAGAGAGTGACGCTTCCCAAGCAAAACTAGCTTGCAGTATTGGACATCAGTGTAAACGTCATATTGAAAAGTATTCATTGTTCTGTAAGTTGATATTTGACACAGTACAGAACTTCACAAAATATATAAATTCTGAGCTGAGACAGCTGCATCAGGATACACAACATTTACTTGATAAAACTATGATATTTGATAAGACTGCTCAGATACTTCAGCTATCACAGCAGATAAGTCTTCATAACCTCAAAACCAACTATACTGAGAAGCTTGATAAAATTAGTAAGGAGTTCATGTCAGTGTCTGCAAGTGGCGTGACGAATTTACACAAAGTCCATTGCTCAGAAAATACACTGAAACTACAGTGGGACAGTATTAGTAGGGATTTGAAGTGTCCTTATAAAACACTGGCCCCAGCTAGAGCAAAAACTCTTGTAGAATATCTCAGAGATTCTTGGCAGCATTTGGTAAGAGATCGTGCAACTCATACCCTATCTTATAATGATGAACAATTTCATTTGTTGGAAAGAATCAAAATTACACAGACCATAAGCAAATTGAGGTCTTTGTATGATAAAGAAGTACTTCCACAATATGAACAGTTAGCTGAAAACTTTGGGGACTGGTATAAGATGGCTCAGAACATTCACCTGAAATCAGAGATATTGATTTCTGATATTGGCAAATATGATGATAAATTGAGAGAGTTTGAAGAAGAATTGACAATCGACAATGTCGAGTATACCGATTATATAAAAAGTAATTTTGATCATGCTAACAAAAATAATCTTCCTAAGAAGAGTAGAAATACTCAAAGTCAAAGACTGAAAATGTGTTTGAATGAGTATCGTAAAGAGAGTGAAAATATCAAGGAAATACTTGTTGAAAATACCTTACTTATGAATAAACTAAATGATTCTACTAAGAACTTGGAGAAAAAGTTTGAAATTGTAAATTAATGTTCTGGATAGGAATATTTAAAAATTTCAGGTAGGTAAATTGTCATTCCATTATACAGTGCTTTCGTAAAGTACTGAACACATTAAATTTTAGCCAAACCATTCCATTTCTAAGGAATCTCCGGAAACAGGTCGATTCTAATTTTCAATTTTCAACTTTTATAAAGGAAAATTTGAGGATGATCCAAGTTTGAGTTATGACATCCACGGCAATTCCATTGGAACATCCTATATATTATCGAATAGGGTTTTGTATACAGTGCGTCCGTTAAATTAAGTGATCTCGTAAAGAAGTTGATACATTCTTTTTTAGCCAAACTATCATTGAGGAATCTATGAAACTTTTGCCATATTCATGAGGAAAAAACTAGGTAAACAGGGTGATCCACGTTTGAGTTATAACGTCCGCTACATTTTTTAAAATGAAACACCTTATATATTATTCAATTTTTGGAATTTCCAGGAGAAGCTGGATTCAAAAATAAATCACACATAGGGATTTTTTGTCCGTTAAATTCAGTGCTCTCGTAAAATGGGTTTGCTATTAAAAAAAAGATTGCCGGAATGAAAAGGAAATTCGACGGCTACGACCGTTGTTTTAAAAAATCATAACTTTTATTTTCAAGGAATTTATTCAGTACTTCACGAGGACACTAAAGTCAACGGACGTACTGTGTTTGTATACAGTACGTATTATATTTGTGAATTCAGATTTCCATAAAGATTCCAAAAATGTAATAATATATAGGGTGTTCCACTTGAAAAGAGTGTCGTGGACGTCAGGAGAATGTATTCAGTACTTTACGAGAGCACTATATACAGGATTAGCCAATGAAACAGGACAATTTAAAAAAACCGAAATCAATAAAAACATTTTTGACATTATTTACATGGTTGAACATATTTTTTCCAGTGTATAGATCTCATTTTGGTTAAGACTTCAAACATCAATTTTTTGATTTTCGAAGGTATATAATATGAATTAGGATGTTCCATGTTCAGTATAATCACTCGATAATTTGGGGACTAAAATAAACACATAATTTCAAATATTGACATTCTAATTATTATTGTTTTGTATTAGTTTCTTTTATTATGTGATATATTGTTGTAATATTAAATAGTTATATATTGTATAGTTTTTATATAAAATCAGTAAATTGAAAAAATGTTTAAAAAAGTTTCTCTAAATGTGAATAAGAATATATCTTTTGTACTTTGAGTGATTTTACCGAAGTGTGAAATGAGGGAAACTGAAATTAAAACGACAATTATACAATCCGAAGTTTAGCTTTTTTACCAATTTCACCCCTCCTTCCAACAGTCGCACTCGGAAAGGGGAGGAGGTTCATTCCTTTCCACATTTAATTTCAACACATTAACTGGCATCTATGTAAATGAGGTGTCTGGTCAAAGAAAGGCACTTTGGTTTTTTGCCGACTTTGAACTAGTATTAGGCCAAAAAATGATGTGAGAATGAAGGAAAACATTTCTTGGCATTTTTTTGCAAAAAAACGACGGCTATGGTTTTGGAATTTCTGACCTTCCTCATACAGGATGTGAAATATCGAAATGTTTCGATATTCTGTATTTTCATGCATTTCTGTGGATTTAAAAAAGTTCAGGCGATTCAAACCGTACTGCACTGTAATACGATCGAATTCATTCCTGGTGAAGTTATCCACCTGACTTTAAGAGCAGCAGACATTTCGGTAACAACAAAATGAGCGTTTTTTGAATAATGTGTGAGATTTTATGAAATCGTCTGCCCATATTGATTCTGCTACAATCACGTGCTTGTGAAACTATGAATCCTTCATTCAGATGGATTGCCCCAGTCAACATCTCGAAACAATTTCGTGATTTTCTAGATAAGTCAATACCTGGGACCACAAGGGGGCACTTTGCATTATTCAGTACTTTACATGAAATAAAATTGAGGAAACGGTGATTTCCAAACATTTCTGAGTTGGTATGAAATTAAGAAACCTCCGTAGTGCACGTTTCATTCATCACTTGGGAAAAGTGCCCGTGAAAAGACGATTCTAAGCAAGTGACATTATCAAGAGAACTGCCAAGCTCGTGACAACTGTAATTATCCTAGTCTAATCAGTCTGGTCAGAAATTCCAAAACCATTTCGAGATATTGACTTGAGTATTTGAGAAAGTTGATTTGCAGAAGGATGAAAAAAAATCTTGGGGAATACAGGAGCTTCTAAACCTTTTCGCTTATGTAACACTCTTTTTGACCACTTGGTATGTCATAACTGGAAATCTTCGAAAAGTTTCAGACAATGAATCCTAAACAGAAAAGACGCTTTTTTTAACACTGCATCCGATTGAAAACCGGATCATTTGCAAAAAGTTATCGCATTTTGGAAAACATCGAAAATTTGAGTGGTCAACTTAATTCTTTGAGCACGTTATTTCAATAAATCCTCAGAGTATTTATCTATGATGTTTCATGAACACATCCTCCATTTATCAGTGCATTACAAACGACGAGGTATACATTCGGTTATATCTTATTAAGATGTTAATATCATCGAAAACATTCAAATTTCAAACAGTACTTGATAACACATTTCAATAATTCTCATTGTTGAAGTATTTGTGAAACTGATGAACATGAATCTGAGGAAACAAGTCGTGCGAGAGCAGCATCAGTCAACCGTATTAGGTATTATGTCATTTCATAAGTTAATTTCACAGAACTCTTAATCATTATATCTTACGACTAGAACGCGCGATCCTATGGTTTCATACCAAATTCAACTCATAACTCAATACTAATCTCAGAATTACGTGGCTTTATGGTAATACAGGAGAGGAGATATTCTACTGAGACGTTCTTGGATTTCCATCGGTTTGTTTATGGTTTGTATACAAACAACGAAATGTTAGCTCCCACTTATGACTGCTTGTCATTCAATGTATGTCCGAAAAGTCAAAAATATTATTAGATCTTTGGTAATATCAATATTATACTTGGTTATTGTGATGTTCAAGACTGCATAACTCCTTATTGAACATGAGGGCGAAGTGAAAAGTTCTATAAGTATAAGTACCTATCTAAAATACTTCTGATGCATATCTATCACATAAGATTTCTTGAATCCAATTACAAAGAATGGTCTTGGGATACAGTTAAACTTGGAATGGCCATCTACTGAACATGTGTTCAATTCATTTTACAGAGGATGGCTTTCTTCTGACCAGAATTTCCAGATGATGTAATAACATTGTCTCCACATGATAAATTGTTTATTTTTGATCCATCAGGAATAAATTCTAAAAGCTCATCGAGAAGTTTAATGAGAGCAGTCTAAATTGTATGTTCTCTATAAGGGATTTTTGGTACTTCAATGAGATGCCCTATCTTTTTCAGCCAAATGAAATCATCCTCTTCAGGTTCCAGCATAATGAAAAATGAAGTGAAGCAAGGTTATTCAAATGTGAATTCTATGAACAATTTAATGACAAATTTTACATAAGTTTATATTGGCATAGGCACCTATATATCCTTTCAGTCTCTATTTGAAGTGGAGGGAGTCTTTTGAATTGACTCAGTGATTTGATACAGTGGAATGCGATACTTTTATTTAAACCATACTTTTATTTAAACCATGAACTACGACAATTGAATATGTTATAAAATCTGCAAAATAATAATAAGCATGAGAAATTTTCAAAAAAATCAGACATGTAGAATGCAAAAAAAATGAGCTGCGTATTTATTTACTTTTATCATCCAAATTTTCCATTCGTGGTAGTCATGACCTTGACTACCGCGAATTGCAATTCTATAGACATCTTCTAATTTTCCGAAAATTCATATAATAATACTTTCATCTCATCTTTGAGATACGCCACTGGCGTCCATTTACATCTTGCCATGCATTTAAACCCCGCTACTGTTTATGGTTCACTTACAGTGTTGCAGCTGATGCATGATTTGTTCGTCCGCCATATATTAGATATGCATGGGTTGCGTGCAAGACCTGTCAGATAACCGACCCTGGTGGCACAACACAATGTACAACATTGAAAAACAACCTCACTTTTCTTATATGTTTACAAGTGATTGAAATAGTTTTTCACTATTATTTTGGCATACGAATCGTATTTTTCGGCTATTCATCAATTTGCTCATGCCATCACATTGTGCTGTTGTACAATGCACAAAAACTGCAGCGGAAGACGAAGGAATCCGGTTGGCACATTATGACTTTAAAGTAAGAACCTACTATGGTCACTCACATATAGTTTTCATTTTTGAAATTTGGTAATTTCTCTGATTTCTCATCGGAATTCCTTCTGCAATAGGAGCTAATAGAAATACATGTGAAATTTTTTAAATAATGCAAGAAGATTGGATTCATGCAATTGTTACGCCCCTGGTTACTTCCAAACAAAATCACATATGTTGAGTTTATATAATTGTATTAATCAGCTCTGACTCAGCGATATGGACTGGCTACGGGAGGAAGAATGAATCAGGCGAGCAGTTAGCATTGAATACTCGTGAGATCTAATATACTTACTTGGGAAGTGTTATATTCATTAGTATAAAATAAAGGTGTTGATGTTTGTTAGAGCTGAGTATCATTTATCCTATACACCTTTGTAACACAATTAATCGGGAGGAGTGGTCTGACATGCTGACGAAATAGGATCGTGTGTGTTGTAGACATTTTCAATATATTAGCAGTATAAGCTTGTATTGCAGAAGTGGCAGAAGGCAGAAGAAATTTCAATAAGGAATGACAACATTCCATAATGATAACTATGTGAGATTACTATTTACCTGAAAAATTATATTCCTTCGTCTCTCGCTGCATTTTTAGTGCATTGTTCAACAGCACAATGCGAAGGCATGCTTGAATTAATGAATAGCGCAAAACACACGATTCGTATGCCAAAATATTGTGAAAAACTATTTCAATCCTTTGATTCCTCTGTAAACAAATAAAAAAGTGAGGTTGTGTTTCAATAATTCATAGAAGAGTGAGGTTGTGTTTCAATATTTTTCCTCCAGGGTCGGTCATCGTGCATGCGACCTATTCTAGTAGTAAGATATAAAGGTTATGAGCTATGTGGTTGATTACCATCAAAACCGATAATTGCATAATATTATGATGATAAATGGCTGCTACTATCCAATCAAAAATGTATGTTCGATCGCTCTGACTGACAGTATATAGACCCGCTCGCACTCATGTGTACGTGTATTTCAAAGATCATGGAGAAAGCTAACAACATCGAGCTCATGAAATACCTGGAACATTCAGGTATTATCAATGATAGGCAATATGGCTTCCGTCATCAGAGCTCAACTGGTGACCTGCTCGCTTACGTCTCACATATATGGCAGTAATCTATTGAAAAATGTGGTGAAACCTTAGCCGTGGCACTTGATATCTCCAAGGCATTCGATCGAGTCTGGCACCACGGACTCCTGGCCAAGCTTCCAACTT